GTCGACCACCAGCCTTGCGTCACATCTCAAAAATAAACAACGCAATCCAAACACGTGCACTATTGAATTTACACATACAAATAGGAATAGGTACAATCTTTAATACACAAAAAGTCCAGCCGTAAAGCGAAAAAAATCCAGCAGTGCTATTAGAGCCATTAACTCCACAATCGCGATCATCCGCGGCAGAAGCAGGCTACGGCAGGCCGCACCACCAAGTTCTATCCATTAGGCGACACACGTTACATTCGGGCGAATCATTGTAATGCGGTCCTATTGTCTCGTGTTGTTCTAAGCCAACCCCTAGTCACCGCGGCCGGCTAAATTCGCCGCCGCTGCCACTGCCCTCACTGGATACACTGCAAATCCGTCGGCGTTTACGCCACCGTCGTCGTCATCGTTGTTGTTGTTGAGGTCTCTACTGTTGTGGCTGGTGAAAATAAACACTGCATAATATCCAGTCAGCGGCGAGGGGCTAGTGACAACGAATGGTGGGACGAAGCGACCTAGATGTACGCCTCGGTGCGTTTACGTCCTCGGGCCATGCTCTAATCAGAATAATCCAACTTTAGGCGCGGCTAGTGGTGTCCTATGACTGCCGTTGGCTGCCGCTGTTACTATAGCCGCCGCTGTGGACAGCAAAAAAGCGGCGTCTGGATTCATCTGTCAGGGCGCGCAGCGGTTCGGTCTAGCTTTGTACTTTGGTGTACTTATGCCGGAGCCCCGGCCATCAGTGATGCCTAACGTGGCGTCCGTAGTGAGTATAGTAAGTAGTGTTGATATCAAATGGGACCTTGGTGTCTGGTAGGCTATAGGGCCGAACGTGCTGGACACGTGCTTCGCCGCCTTCATTTTAAGACAAAATGCTGATATGGGCCATCGGCATGAATATATTGTGACTAAGCGAAGGCCACAAAATGAAAAAAAAACTGTTTCATGCTAATATAGTATTTTTTTTTTGTTGTTTATGTTATTCTATACTTCGTTCTTACTTCATAAATAGTGGCATCAACAGTAGGTAATAGCGGAAGCCTCCTCCGCGTCGTATGAGGCCGCGGCATCGGAGCGAAATTTTGAAATCCGTGTAGCTGGCAGGCAGATCAACTACATAATCATGATTGCCGTTTGTTAAGAGTAGCCCATATGGCTAGATATGTATACTCGAACTGCGACGTAATACTGCGCAAATACATGCTCAATCTACACTTTTGATCAGTGTTTAAGTTGAATTTTTAAAATCGCAGTAAGCTGTCGACGATCGTCACAGACATTGCCGTTATTGATGGTAAATGGTACTGCGTCATTGGCCAGGCAGCTTGCGGATCCCGCTCACAAGTCTGAGTCTATGCATAAAAGGGGGAGAAGCATGAGTCTGTATCTCCAAAATCCTATTTATCTGATCCATTGCCTCGTTCAAAAATCCCGATAGCGCCTTAAGCATCAACGACACTCTTAGAGGCATCCCGCTACATTAACTGAATTTCACAGAATAATAATAATCAACGTATAGATTATTCTAACCTAGCTCTGAATTAGCAGAAGTCTTAATTGTTAGGATAGCGTTATTATGACAGGCTTCTCATGTCGTTCTGTTGTTACTACGCCTTCCGACGGATAGTAGCAGTATCAGAGCTGAACAGATTGGTTCAAAGCTTGAGTAGCTGTTTGTCCGTCGTCTGAATAGACGAACACTTCATTTAGTGTAACTTTCAGCGTCGTAACGGCAACCGTGTGATGGGCTGTGTCATAACACCGTAAAATTGAGTCGGTCATGCAACAGCTCTCCCAATAGATTCGCCTTCTATAGAAGAAGAATAGTAGTTGCAATGGTTCTACCTACTAGAATAACTTCAAAAATAATCCAGTAAATCAACGCGATGTACTTAACGTTAAACAACGTGGTAACATTAACGCGTTATTTTCGTAAAAGACTCGCGCATACACGCACACAGACACAAACAAACAAACAAACAAACACAAATACACACACATAGCCAAGCTTAAACAAACTGAAAACATGAAAAATGGCAGTCGTTGCCTTTTTTGTTGCTGCTTGACAAATGCTGCTGTTACTAGCCAGCCTGTCGGATCGCCGAGATTTGAATTTCGCGCCACCCGCTCAGGCACGATGGTGGAACGTCGACTACCGCATTAAGAGCAACAGACCGAATCTGAGTATGACAATCAAACACGCGAAAAATAAGCCAAACAATTGAATAATGTCCAAAAATCCATTTGTTCTTTTTTCTAACAATGTAGATATTGAGAGCGTGGAGCAGAGATCAACGACACTTACGAGAAAAATATGCTATAACAGTATCAACTGAATGATCATGTCCTAACATTAAAAAAAAAAACAGTCAGCGAGATTAATGGAACAAATGACTTCGTTCTTCTGTTAAGCTTCATAATGGTCAGTAGCACAACGGCGGAGTCTTTCGTCCGGCCGGGACTTCCAGAACGAATCGGGCGCTTCTAGTGTTTGTGACTGAACGTAAGACGAGGACTATTTTGAAATGTACTAACAGCACTTGGAGAAGTAACTATTCAATTGAACGCAGTTTTGTTATTTAGCTACCAAGATTCGCCATATTATAATGCTGTGTCGTTTAAATGATCGGATTGGCCCAGAAACAGCGGTATATATCGTGGAGATCTAACGAACTCATCACGAATATATGTAATGGTTACCTAGGTTGGTCGGCCCTATACCAACAAGTATTACAGGTCGATCATTATGTGTCACAAAGTGGATGTTTGTTAATGGATTTAATTGGTCACACTACCATATTTCCTTACAATTTGTAGTCAATGAAGCAAATGCAATTTTTCTTCCGAAAATGAACAATAGGACAACGAGCACAGACCCATCAATCGGTGGTTGTTTTCGAGGTTAACTCGTTAAAGGGTTAAACTCATACACTATAACATCAAATTTGTCGGAACCTAAATAGTTGTGTGACTGCCAACGCCAATTTTGTACGGTCACCCGTTATTAGAGGTTATTTCTACCAATGCTAGTGTTAGTGATAGGACTCCGGTATCGGAATGGCCCCTACGCTCTTTAGAGCTTCGTGCGTTATCTTCGTCGCATATTTTTAAGACTTCTATTTAACTCCGTTCAACAGATTTGCGACTTCTGCTATTCTCGCCTTTGCCAACTGACGTTCGTATGAGAAGCAGGCTTCTTATCGTCCACGTCAGCATGAACTACACAGGCGCGCACATCTGCTGAGTGCCTGACTACCCGTGCCTTGTGGGTATCCTAACGGGGTCCCTAACTTCCCGTTCTTCCGTGTCGACCACGACCGAGTTGTCATGGTTGCGGTGGTTAATCTGCGTTCCCTTTGCGCGGCTCTTCAGCCATCCAAGACTGCGGTTTCGTTTTCTATATGAAAAAGCTGTTCTCCGGCTGATCTACCACTTCAAACCTGAAAAGCTTTATGTTCAATAGAGGGAAGCAGTCAAACCAACAACGAAGGCGGTCGGTACACCCACGGCATCATCACAAGCTTCGGGTGGGTAACCCCCGGGAAACAGGGAAGTACGGGACAGGGAAGGACAAGCCTGCTGGACTGCAGGCTGGCCTGGCCGAGCCGGGGGAGGGGGAGGGGGAGGGGGAGGGTAAGGGGAGGGTCCTAAAGTAGAAAGCCGGAGCCAAGGAAAATATCGGAGATTCAGGGCAAAAACCGGGGTAGGTCATTACCATCCATATGGCTGCCCGCATCTATCATACATCATATATCTCGTCTTTTCCTGCCATAGCGACGTGGAGAAGTACTGTGTGTAACCAAGGGCTACGCGTACGGTGAGTGACATACACAAATACACATATCCACTGAGCAGAAAAAGAGAACGACGACGAAGAGAAATCTGCGTCCATCTAAGATTTTTAGGGTTCGGAGCGGTTTACTATCGTAGAAGAACGGCCTACAGTTAGCCCCTGTCCGTAACCCCTATCGATTCGTGCTAACCATACTATAACTAGTGTGGCATTCGAAGGCAAGCACAAACGCACCGATACGATCGCACGATATCGTACTAACACGCCACTCTCCAAATGAACGTACACATAGGGGCAAAAATTGCGCGGATATCTACGCAGATGCAAGCAGACGCATGGAGCAGGGCAATACGCTACATGTCTGCAGCCCCCCGCCCTTTACGGCCTCAGTGCTTTACAAGCGGCAACTGGTTCTTGACAAGATGGTTTCCAACGACTTGCCTTATAATTCCCTCCTTTACTGGACCCGAGACTCCTCACATTCTGAGTGAGCTCCGGACCGCGACTTGGAGAAACTATTCTTGGAGCTTTCTTTTCTAAGAAGCCTCCGTCTGTGCCCCCAGGCCGTTCATTCGCGGTTTGGTCGTTGCCGCCGGTGCGCAGAACGAAAACGAATGAGATACTCGGAGAAATGGTTCTAGTTAAAGGGAGAGCCTAGGCAGGCGTTTGTAGACACCGCGAGTCTAACAGATATGTGACAAGAAATGATTAGACGACCAATGGGTTTTTCGGTGTAAGCGCCTGTGGTAGTGTAGTGATAGCTAGCAATGGAGATCTTCGTATAATTTGCCATATCTATACTGAGTGCGGGCTGGGTTCTTGGCAAAAAGTCCCCTAAGCAGACCTTGAAAGAAGAGGCTAGGCGTTAAAAACTCGGCGGGAAGGTAGAATCACGAAGAGAAAAACAGAACCACCAGATACAGTCTCAGGTCTGTTAAACAAACTAGAGACAATTGAGATGAGAAACTGATGACCATTTCACCTAATCTACTAATAATAACTGGTAAAGTCATGTACTCCTATACCAATAGGGGCTCAGGGCCAGATTGTCCCAGTGGGGATATTAATTTTATAAAATGTTACTTTTTTTTCAGAAAAGAAAATTTTCCACAACTTATAATCGAGAAGCTAGCTGAACGGCCTCCAACGATATGGCAGAGGTATTGGTTTTCGCTTCTAGCCAATTCGATTTGCTTTTATGTAAGCTTTCACGAACCTTGTTCAGAGCGCTGCGGTACATGAAACGTGTCTGTGTAACGGACCCGCGATGAATGTGCCAGCGATGCAACTTCTGCCTTGGACGATGGTTTCTGTCGCGTAAAAATTTTCTGTGTTTAGTTGCAACGATTTGTCTTCGAATTCTTTGTTCTAGACGGATGTGTCGGAAAGTGTTTGCCTTAACGCTTCGTCGCTTACTTACGAACGTTCGAACAATTAATAAATAATTTCTTCTTCTTCTGTACTGCTTCGTATTGTATAGGCTGTTGCGTCGAGGTGGCGTACTCAATTGAGGTTCTAATGTAATAAGCCGAAATTTGAGTATAGTCGAGATGTAATTCTTTCTCCTGAGTTCTTGATTGAAGTCTGCGGCGCGCATCAAGCGCCGAGCGGTCTCGTTCGATCCGCCAAATTATCCATCTGTAACGGCCCGAAGAAACGAAAAATCATCGTTAATTAGAAGAATTTAAGGTGATAAACGCTGCTTGTTGTAGACATCATTATTTGCCCAGTCTACGGATGTGTGTTACATTCGTACTATGTAATAAGCTTCCTTAAGGAACGAAACAGGTAGCGAAACTTAACGAACTAGCAATTCAGTACTTAATAATAGTAATAAGTAATCAATAAATCGACGAGTAAAACTTTGATCACTTCAATTGAAGACGTGTAATTTTGTCTTCACTGCTAGCATCATCTAATTATTATTCAAATACTCAATTCGTTACATAACGAATCTGACTATGCTTCAGATTATCAATTGGACTGAGACGTGTGAGTCTGTGCACCGACTGACGTTTGTCCTTCCGAACAACTGGCTGAAGTCGAAGTGCCTATATATCTATTCAACATAGGCCAAATGCTTGACCTTAACGATCAGACCGAAAAGGGCTGATTCGCGCTAGCAGCAGTGGACAGATCTGCTTAATAGGTTTTCTTCCGCTGCCAGATTTCTACATATTCATAGGCTAGGCATCGGTAAGGTCAGATTATCCATTACGGAAGAATTGTTGCAGTACGAGAACAATCTGATAGCCGCATCAACAAGCTGTCTCTACTACTCATCTAGTAGATTTACCTTGCGCTCGCCATAAAAATTCAACGAACGATGTCTAAGACTCAGTTTTACCTCATTAATCAATGTCTGCTTTGCTTCGTTTCGTGTCTATTGTGTCACCCATCTTGTGCTCGCCTAATTATAACGAAGTACAATTCAATGCAAGGGGACAGCATCGTCGTCCTAATCCAGCTTGACGTACCTATCGATGATGCCGTAACACCTCAGTCCACTTCCCGCTATCATCACCACCGACTAAATAAGACCCGAATCAAAAAATCAATAACTAGACAACTAATTTCGTGTAATCCTAATGTATTTTTACCTACATATCTGACATTATTTAAATGTCTGAGCTACTTTACGCTCCTGCTTTTTTGCCGTTTGATATAAGTTCTACCCGCTAATCTACGTAGAATATGATCAGTATATTTTATCTTCTTTTCTATCTAATCACTTAGTTCACTAAACTATACCGAAGTCTCCGTTACAAGGTGACGGCCTGATGTCGTCCTATGGCCAAAACTAATCTGTATTGCTACTGGTGGGAGAGTCTGAGTAAAACTTTACGTCACCGTATTAGTAATTATGGCGGTGGAATATAGCGCCTATTGAACATCGCCATCTGCATCTGGTTGTAAAAGTTCGTCCTGTCTCGTCATCGTGTCCCACTCGTTAAGAGTGAAGCTCCTGCGAACAGAATGAAATCTTGAGGTCAACCACCTCACTGCCAAGCTATCCAGTGTCGTATGCAGTAGCATGAACTGATAAACACAGGAACATAAATCTGAAGATCACATCTCTCTTCAGGAGCAACTGATCTATCCCTTTTTCAGCCCGATTTTGGGGAATCATTGCTTCACAACAGCCCTAACAACAGCGGAAGCCGTCAGATTGCCGTTGAATGTGAAACGAGCCGTTCTTTACGTTAAAGCTCACGTTAGCTGGGGTGACTTATTCGAGCATGGCCGGACCAGCGGTCGAGTCAACTGATTAGCACCACTCCATACGCGTACTAACTAGCGCAGTAATCAAGTTCGTAAAGGACCACCGAAATTCAACGGAACCCAATAGCAGTGAGCTAGCGGCGATAGGAGTTTCATACTACGACAGGAACAGGATCAAGCCAGAAGTCTTCGACAGCCGTGTGTACGAAGATCCGAGCTATAATGGTCCTCGCTAGTGTGGCGAGGTTTGGTGATGCGGTGTGCTCAAACCGGACCGACTACAACCGCAAACAAACCAACCGAATACGATTATGTGGAGGCGCCAATCCGGGAGGGGGGAGGCAGGGGGTTGTGAAGACTTTATGCGCTTTTCGTTTCCTTCGTCGTACGATATAAGCTCAGCACTAAGCATCTAGCTGACGTTAGGGGAACTTAACGATATATCTATCTGTGCTTATCAGCGAGGCTAGCAAATGGTATCGGATAAAATGCTAACTGATTCTAACAGGTTCTCAATGAACGCTAATGTTGGGCCTTCAGATAAGCTGTAGTACGGACCGATGGTCATTACAAGCAGGATGCAGGCCATGCAAAAAGAAGAGTAACATAACTTGTTTGTTTTTTTGGGAGCGGAAAGATTTTTGGTTGACATTGAGATTTTGGGACGGTTAAATTTTAATAGGGCGAAAGCGTTTCCATGATAGGTTAGTGGGTAATATATGTGCGAATTTTTGAGGATACGAAATGGTCTAGGCCCGAACTCGGGCATAGACGCATTGTTTTGTGCCAACCGTTTGTCAGATGGAACTGTGCCTTGCTACGATACCGGACGTAAGAGCTTCGTAAGAGAAAAGATTACATTCGAATAACTATCTCTCGCAGTACGCGGGCAGCAACAAGCGTACGTGTTAGGTCATATATTGTTAAAAACCATACAATATAGTTTGATCAAGAGGGCCGTCCCTATATTCCGCTTAATTTTTACATCAGTTCGCACTACACGACTAACAATTAGACAGCCCATTAAAGTAAGTGTGTCAAAGCTGAGACGATTCATCGGAACCAAACGGAAAAAAACGTTTTATCAATATACCGCCAACACACTATCTTTACCTGGGCTAAAACTAAATGCCAGGTAAAGGACGTTACTCAAGGCTAGTACCCGAAAAGAAGTTCTTCCCGTTTTCTTGCTGGCAAGCTGCTACAATATTCGATCCATGTAAGCACTACAATTTGCTTGCCGAATGAAGGCTTAAAGAAGCGGGGCATTAAAGACGAGAGTGGACACGCACGCTCGTTGACGTTACAGTGAACTTACTAGAGACGAACTTCGTTACGGCAGCCGAATGTAAATGCTGTTTGTTGTTAGGAGTTCGTTTAAACGTCGCGGTAAGTAAAAATGCATTGAATGAAATAAACATGGCTTACAATAGTACGTTTTGGTATTGGCCAAAAAGCCGAGAACCAATCAAGCCTAGTAGTATTCTGTCCGCGGATCAGCAGGTCACAGTCTAGCCGCGTTACCTGCTGTCTTCATAGTGCGATCTTATGAGTTACACACAGACAGTTAAACAAATGTTCCCAGCTCCGCCGTTGTTGGGTATTGCAACAGCGTAACTTTGGTTCCTTTCAACATGCAAGTCCATAGCGCGTCGAAGCTTTGTCAACAAACACGTTATCACCGGGCACCGTCATTTCTTACAGCTTGTAACTTAAGCGGTATGAATATGCACTACACTCCATGTTGAATACGATTGGGCTAGAATGTGTACAAAGGCCTCCTCCCCTGCTTTTTTACAATATCTTACAATATGACGATATCAACCAGCGAAGCTGCGATCTATAACCGTCGATCATTTAGCCGGCGCCAGACATTACGACTGAAAAGTAAAAACCGGTAACCGTACTAGCTGGAGCGGCAAAAGCACAGACGTAAACGCAACGATCTGTCATTTTCAGTATAATGCTGTATGTCCCTTCTACACGTACTTTCCTTAACGCGAACGGCAGCAGCGCGGATAAATAAATAGTGAAGTAAGAACCTTGAAGCGACGTACTTTTCATCAACCTCAGTTGCGGACGATAAGACTATTAAGAAGACCTATAGACACCGGCGTACATGGACCTACTACGTCCACTACCACTGAGGGGTTTTTCGTGCAACCTGCCGACCAATTTCCTGCTGCCTCACTTTAACTACGCTGCTGGAGCCACCGTATTACATCGACATGACGCGATTCTATAACGGGGTGCAGTATAAACAGCGACATATAGGGGCAATGTGAGGCGGTCACGCCGCTTGCATCTCCATGCAATCAACTGTGATTGCTGGCCAGCCGTGGGTTGCCTTGCGAATGCGGGTGAGGCGCCACCAGTCATTGCTAACCACGAAAATATTGGTTTTTTTTTCCAGCTTTTTCATGTGGGTGCACCATGGTAGCCATTAGGGTGGTTGATGATGCTTCAGACATGTTGGAGATAGCGACAAAGGTTGTAGCTGGTCTTTTTTCGAATGGCGCAAGCGCATTAAGCCCCGTAAAGCACGGCTATAACCGGGCCGTAACAAGTGATTTCGTTTTCTCAGCAGGGGCATTATGCCGCGCCTCGCAATACGGATTGGATCACTAACTAGCTAATCAGCAATAGTAAACAGGGCAATAAGAACTGTTGAAAGCCTGTTGAAAAACTGAGATATATCTGTCATCCAAAAGCGTACAGAAGCTTTCACGTATCTAATAATAGACGAAGCGGCAGCTTAATCAACAGAGAAGCTGAATGAAGAACGATAAGCGATAGGCATTAGCGTTAATATTTACTGCTATTCAGAATACAAAGCTTAGCTTTCCTTTGTCTGAGGTCAGTAACTGGAGCATGAATGAAATGGATATCGATGTTTGTTGCATTGAGCCAGTAAGAGTTAAGAAGAGTAATAAAATTCATATAAAACATGAATGCTAAGATCTCCATATGCCTTTGCCGCAACAGCTTCCATTGAGCCTGCCCCACGTCCAGAAATCAATTATTACAAGGACCCTATTCAGTCTTTATTTACATCCACATAGGGAAATGAAACGACAAAATCATAGGGGATCCGCAAAAGTCCTTTGTACAAGGGTAATAATAATGACTTTAATCTGTCAATACTCGTTCGCTTTGCTCAGACACAACAGCTGCGGTGGTCCCCCTGCCACAGGCAGCGAGCAACGATTTATAATGTAGGTGCAAGCGACCGTTGGTTACCAGCTAAACAAATCGTCCCTGAGATTCTCATTCAGATATCGATTTCGATTCCGGTCAAATATTGAAACCGGCAACATTAATTAATTAATTAATTATGTAAAAATCGTTGCGACAGCGCCAGTACCAACTACTGCTAAGTCCTACATATCGATCTAATTCATTCCCATTTCGTCTCA